GTGGAGAGGAAGCCCTGCATCACGCTTGTTGAGGCTTCTAAATGGGCTCAAAGGGGAGCCTTTCTAAGACCCGGATGTGGTCCCTTCTCCTCCACAAATCACCTGTTGAGCCCGCTGTGACTGCCCCTGACACCAGGCAGTGGACCTGCACCGTGGGAAGGCCTCCAGGTCCTGAGGGTGGCGTGACCGCCTGGTGGCCAAAGAGGGCCTCGTGAAGGCTGTGGCATTCGCCGGGTTCCCGTGGTTCCGGCTGCAGCAGCTCCTCCCGCCAAGCCCTGCGGACAGAGCACCGCCACCCCCACCTCTGAGGAAGCCGAGGGCTCAGCGGGGACCAGGCATGCAGGGCTGCTGGGGCCTGATGATCGCTGGTGGAACTTGAGGCTGCTGGCGGTATGGTCCTGCCCTGGTTCCCCGGCGACCTCGCTGCCTCGTTTCTCAGTTTTCTGCCTTTGGGCAGTGTTCACCGTCGGCAGCTTTGTGGGTGGCGTCCAGAGCGCTCTGAGCAGAGGCCTTGGGCTGGAGCTGAGTGCTCACTCAGGTGGGTCTCACTGGCCACATCTATGAAAGGGAACTAATGGATCCCAGCTCACGGGGAGACACTGTGCCCACAAGGTGCTCGGCGTCTTGCTCAGAAGGAACCAGTGTGGTGGCCGGGCTGGGGTCTGGTGGTGGGCTTCGGGTCTGCAGGATAGACCCCCAAGGAGCAGCCCCTCAACAGGGAGGCAGAGCTAACCTGCCTGTAGCTCCTGGAGGCTGAGGGAGCCTGCTGGGCAGGGACGAGGCTCTCAGAGGAGGTCCCCCTTGGTGTCCCTGGCCAGCGCCCACGTCCACCGGGCAGCAGCTGCCACCGGCCATCCCGGGGACCATCGGAGACCCGTCGTGGTCTCCATGCTGGGCCCACGCAGGGAGGCACAGGAGCGCTCTGAGCAGCAGGCGTCTTGCTGGGCCCTAGGGGGTTGGTGGGATACCGCCGGTGCGCTTGCCGGTGAGGTGGTTGAGGCAGAGACGCTGCTCCAGGGTTGAGTGCTGGATCCCGCGGGCGGGGCTGGGGGTCCGGCTTAAAACTCTCCCTGGTGACCGTGATGTGGCCAAGCCTGGGACCCCCTTCACTGCAGGCTCCCTTCACCTGACAAGGAGATGGTGGTGGTCCTGTGATGCTTTTGTGTTTGGAGACACAGATGGTGTGTCTTCCGCCAGATGGAAGGCTCCTCTCTCGTTAAAGCCGCTGCTGGCAGGCGGTGGGGCTCTGGGAGGTCTTCCTGGAGCCCCTGTTCTGTCTTGGGCAGTGCTGCCGGCCCCTGGGGGGTGTTGTCCCTTTCCTGGCAGGGACCACCAAGGAGGTCAAAGCCGCGGAGAAGGGGCCACGGGAGCAGGGGAGGGCAGGCAGCTTCCCTTCCAACCTGCCTGTGCCACACCCCTCCCATCCCATTGGCCAGAAGTTAGCCCGGAGGGACACACCCCTCCCACCCCATTGGCCAGAAGTTAGTGCGGGGAGGGCTGGGAAATGTCAGCTGGGCGCTATGTACCTGCTGAGCTCTGGGAGAGGGGCCTGGCGCACACCGTTCGCAGCCCGCCACCCTTCCTCTAGGGGGGGTGTGTGTGTGTGTGTGGCGGGGGGTGGGGGGTGGGGGGTGGGACAGTGGGTGGTGTTTTAGCCCAGCTCCTGGATGGACGAAGAAAGGCAGCTTTGGGGCGGGGGGGGGGCTAGAGTCTGGGTGAGCTGACGAGAGGCAAGGATCCATGTCTCCACGCCCATCCTCTCCGGGGTTCTGTGGTAGGTAGGGAAGCACCTCTTCCCTAGTGGACAGCTTCCCCGGGAGAGACCCCCCTCTCAAGTGCCCTGGGTGGGGGGGGGGGTCCGCGTGGCTTCCTGCTGCTCTCTGGTTCTCAGGGTCACACCAGTCCCTCCCGACCCCCTGACCCTTGCCTTCTTCTCCCCGGCGTTTGTGTCCTGTGGCTCCTCGCCCTCTGCGGTGGCCATGGGCCTCTCTCCAGCCTGCATCCTGGTCCTCCTGCCCCCAGGCCCAGCTCAAGTGCCCTCAAGTGTGCCTCCCCCAACCGGCTCACAGAAGGCTTTCTTCACTGTTGCTTCTGGTCGACATGTCAGAAGTTCCATTGTTTTCTAGTAGATTTAAAATGGGCTTCCCTGATAGCTCAGTTGGTAAAGACTTCACCGGCAATGTGGGAGACCCTGGTTCAATTTAAAATAAATCATGAGTGTAAGACCTTTAGAGCAGCAGGAAGAACCGCTAAGTCCCATCACTGTGGCCTTACAGATGGTCATCCTGTTAAGATGCCATCAGCGCCAGGCGGTCAGCTCATCATTGAGTCCCTCCCAAACCCAGGGAGGTGCTCGGTGACCATGGGTGTTACCTGGAGACTCATGGCCCGCCTCCTGCGTCAGTGTGTGTGTCTCAGGGGCTGCTTGTCTTGCAGAACACCCAGTGCATCCCAGAAGGCTTGGAGAGCTACTATGCAGAGCAAGACTCCAATGCCCGGGAGAAATTTTACACCGTCATCAACCACTACAACCTGGCCAAGCAGAGCATCACCCGCTCCGTGTCGCCGTGGATGTCCGTTCTGTCAGAAGAGAAGCTCTCAGAGCAGGAGACGGAGGCCGCGGAGAAATCCGCTTAGCAAGACGGGCAAGTTCCTTAACGGTGTCGCTTGAAGGTAACAAGGGGACTTTGAGGGACATTTCATCAAATATAATTACTGATAATTTATAGAGGTTACTCATGTATGGTGCAACTGCTTCTGTTTGCTAATTGCTGCTTTGCAAATACAACTTGCTGCGGACCATTCACGGGCGTAAAGTCAAGTGCGTACCAGCACTGCTTAGGGTGCTCTGCCACCACTTTCCATGTTAGGGAATCTTAATTTAGTGACTTTCCTGGGATTTATTGGATGCTGTCAAAAAAAACAATAAATTTACAATGGACATGCAAGGGGTTTGAACTTCAGATAGATAATAATGCATTTTGTGGAACTGATTTTTGTTTCCTTTTAAACCACACTGCTGTTTTGCAAACTTTACTCCACAGCCGTATCTAGAGTGACCCCTGCTGTGCTAAGGGCAAGCTGTACTTCATGTCTCTTCCCACCTCCCAGAACGGTACTCCGATAGGCCAAGAAGCCCTTGCCCCATAGTGAGTGGTGGAGGAGGGTGGGAAGGAAGCAGAGAGGCCCCCGGGGGGTGGCCACGCACTTTTCTGCGCTCACTGCTGAGTGCGCAGGCGCTGCATCGAGGCGGCTGCCTCTGTACAGAGCGCACCGGCTGGGTGGAGGAGCCAGTGCCTGTGGACTGAGTCAGAGCACGTGAGGTGGGGACCCTGGGAGGAGGCAGGTGCCCATCTCCCTGTAGATAGTCTGTCTGCTCTGTGATGGGCAGAGTAGGAGTGAAACCCAACCAGCCCTTTTGTCCATGTCTATTATGAACAAGTTTGCACCGACAAGCCCGTTAGCAGGTTAGTTTTGGAACACTTAGTTGGGTGGGAAAAGTGAAAAGTGTAATTGCTGGTATAAGTCAAGGCTATGCTGATTTTTATTTTGTGGGACAGATGTAACTCCTTTGATGTAAGAAACAGGCTGGAAAGGCTGGCGGGGGGTGGGGGTGGTGCTGTAAGTCCAATTATGACATTTCCATTCACAGTCTTTGTAAGACAGTTATGTTTCAGCCTGAATCTTGACATTAAAAAGTATATGTTTACAGAATTGCCAGTTAGATAAACCAAGTGTGTAAGACGATAAAATAGAAAAAAAGACACCCACAGACATTTTCTTCCATGTTATTTGAATGTGTTTTTCTGGTGGACATGTCAGAAGTTTCACTGTTGTTTTTTTTTTAGATCAAAAATAAATGACAAATAGTGCAAGCTGTGTTGTGAACATGCATGGTGATCATGGCCATCTCCATTACTGTTCCCTGAAATGTGCTTCCAAAACATACAGTATATTTGATTATCAAGAGTGTCTGGAAACAATGACCATGACCTTGGAGCAGGGGGTGGGCACGTAGAGTGGCGGACGTTGTGAGGCTGTGGGGACGCAAAAGAGCAATGACTGTGCCAAAACTCCTGTGTAGAGAGGATCCATCGGCCAGTTCCAGCCCATGTCCACGCAGTGCCAAGGCGACCCTGTTTGTGTTTCCTAGTAGACGTGCATTTTATTGACTGTAAACTCGTTCACATGTAACTTTCGACATTCTCACTTTGTGCAAATAAAGAACACAAGGATCCCTCTGGCGCCCCCGGACTGTCTTGTGCAGAGCCCTCGACCATACCTCGGGGCCCACAAACGCCGGGGACTTTCTGCACAGATGTGGCTGCAGATGCCTCACGAATCCGTAACAGCGGGCGTTCCTGACTCCTGGGAAGAGGCCCAGGCCCTTCTCTGGACGAAGCTTCTGGGGGGCCCCAGGGGCAGGAAGTCAGGCCTCCCCCCCGAAGGAAAGTGCTGGGAGGAGCCAGGCCCCTGCCCACATTTCTTCCCCGACAGGAGGCAGGTGGGCCCACAGTGACTTCCTAACCTTGGACCCACCAATAAGACATTAAGTGGCTGTGGTTCTATCACTAGATTCACAGGCTGAAGACGAGCTGTCTTTTCCGCTGCATGGGAGTCTGTGCGTCAGTTGCTCAGGCACACAGGAAACCACAGGAGGCACAGGTCATCTGCCCTGAGGAGCTACTGACCCGCGTTCTTCCTGCTGGGGTGGGGAACGCCGCTGCCCCTTCTGAATCAGAGATGGTCGTGGAGCAGGAAGCCCACCAGGCCCCCTCCCTGGGGCAGCCCCCACCCCCCAGCAGCCCCATCAGGTGCAGGAATAACCACCCTCCCGCTCCTTCCCTCTGGCCTCAGGATTGCAACGCAGACCATTTTCAGTTGTGTGGTTTTCTTTTTCATTATTGCATGCTTAAGCCACAGGTCTGGTGTCCCTTCTGTGAGCACAGGTCTCAGCCCCACTCCCCGTCAGGGGCTCCAGGTGCCGTCCGCCGGGCCGCCTAGCTGTCATACCAGTCAAGGAAGAGCAGGGAGAAGGAGCACATCACCAGGAAGAAGAGCACCCACACCCGGAAGCCGGCGTTGTTCTTGATGGCCTGGGAGAGGAGAGGGGGGGTTGGTCTGAAAGGTCCATGTGTGTCTGCCTGCACTCCCCCTGCGGGGCTGTGACTGTGGGGGCTACTCCACCCTGTGCCTACCTTGCACGGATGGCTCTGTTTTTAAGCAAAACCGAAAGGTGGGTTTAAGATCTATTAGAAGACAGACGGGGTGCCTCGCCCTCGCTGGTCAGCCACCGTGAGGCGCTCCTGCACGAGACCCCCAGGAGCGACAGCTCACGTCCGCCCAGGGTCAGACCCACACAGGCAGGCTCAGCCTGCGTGTCCGCTACCCTGGCCTGCTTCCTGGCAGTGCGATGGCGGTGGTGGCCCAAGAGCGGTCCCACATCAACCCAAACCTGAGGACTGCACCCAAAAAATAAAGTCCTCTCAACAGGGTCGACCCTGGCGGTCCCGTCAACGACCAGGTCTCTGGTCCTCAGTGGGGGTCCAATAAGCTTCTCCAGTGGCACCCAGGCTGGACTTAGGGAGTGGCCCCTACCCCCCAGAACGGCTCCTCTGCAGGGCAGTGAGCGGGCCTTGGGCTGGGCAGGATGGAGCCATGGAACCGTCCATCCCGCGCATGGTCCTGAGACCCGCCCAGGGTGTGCGGCCTTGACGAGGCGACCACCACCCTGGACGCAGCGCCTCCAAGTCAGACTTGGGGCCCAGAGCACCCACCTCTCTGATGTCTTCATTGCCCTCCTTGATATTCTCAGTTGCTCCAACTACTAACTGGTGGATACTGTCAATCTCGGCTTCCTGTGGAGGACAACAGCAGCACATAAACCTAACTGTCCTCCTTCCCCAAGTATCCGTCACAACAGAAACAGCAGCTGCCGCATGCGAAGGGCGGGGGCTTTACACACATGAACCCACCAGTCCTCACAGCACCCGGGAGGCAGGCAACACTCCCATTTACCAAAGGGAAGCTTCCGGCTCAGAGAAGCTTAGTAACTTTCCTGGAGACACACAGCTCCCAAGTAGCAGGACTGGGACTGGATGGGGGCCTGTGCTGCCTGCACGCCCGCCTGCCGCCTTCCCGTCCATTCACCGGACAGGAAGGGACAAACACACACGCGCTCGATCAGAGTGGTTGCCCCACGCCAGGGCTTTCAAGGTGCACATGACTTTAAAACACACACACTAGCTTCAAGATGGTGCTTTAGTTTGCAGAGTTTTAGTCCAAATACTTGGAAAGCTTACATATGGGCTCCTGGGCTTACACAGAAGCATCTGGCTAATAACCCACCCTGTACCCCCACATTGCCCTCTAAGGGGTAGGGCTGGCTGTCCTTCCCCCTTCCTCTAGGGGGTGGGCGGGAATGTAAACAAGCTCGGGTTTTAGGGAAACCAGACTGACATGGAACCGGTACCGCAGAGAGGAAAGTGACCTTCAGTCATCTGCTTCCCAGCAGTGAGAGCCACATAGTGTAAGACCCGAGGGCCAGGACTGCCTTGTTCTCTAACTGCGTCCTGGAGACTCTCCCAGTGGGGGCAGGTGCTCCCATGAGTGTGTTGTTAAGAGCCACCTTGCAACACAGATGAGAAATCCCAGACACATTCAGCTCTTTTCGGGTCTTAGAAATCCTGGGAAGCCAGGTGCGGCTCAGTCTGTGCTCTGCAAGCCCCTCCCAGGTCAAGCCCCGGAACCCTTGGTGTGACACAGGCTGGGCCTCGCTCCCACCCCGCGGGGTGCCCGTCCAGAACTCCAGGACAGCTGCTTCCCGACCTGAGAAGCAGCCCCCTAACCAGAAGCAACCGTGAATGGCAATCAGTGCTCCTCGGCAGCTGGGCTGAGGAGCAGACACGATGGTTGTGGAATAAGAGCTTCTAGTGCACTCAGCCACTCTGGGCCTGAGTGTTTCTCGCTGCACGTGGGCTCCGCCCATTGGTGACGCTCTGGCTGTGCTAGTGAGACAGGGCATCGCCCAGGTCGGCCGCAGCCACACCCACAAATAACAACGGTTCCCAGTTCAGTTCCCAGTTTCAGAGAGCCCAGGGCGGGCCGGGCACTTCCTATTCTCCACCCGAGAGTGACTCGCATGACCTGGGCCCCAGTCTGCCGGGGGGGGGTGGGGGGGGGGGGAGGGGGCTTGGGGGTACCGCAGGTCATACAACGAGCAACGGGGAACCAGGTTGGGGCTGTCTGTCTGGCTCTGCTGGGGCCTGGGGAGGGAGACATCTGATTGAGCTGTTTTCTGTATTAGGTGGCTGAACTGATGAGCATTAGGCTTCTAAATGGAGGCTTAGTATATATGGACTAGAACAGGTCCTGCAACATGCTCGTAAAAGGAGCAACTCCGATGAACCTGAACAACCCTGAGTGCCCAGTCTGCGATGATCTGACTCCGCTGTGTGGTTTGGGGACATTCTGTGAGTGGAGTCTCTTGCGTCAAGTGGTCCAGCTTAACACAGTAGAGAAAAATGATTGTGTCTTTCAAACCCTTCCATTCTGTGGGTGCTGAATACAAAAGGGAAATTTTATCAGGTGTTTCTAAAAGTTTTGTCAGTTAGTGGCTAGAAGGACTTCCAAACAGTAAGCAGGTAGAAATGACATGGAAATCCACTTATGAGAACAGTCACACTTCCTGTGAGGACGGGACACCTGAGGTGGCGGGGACCTGGCACCTGGGAGGGCCGAGTCTGAGCCTGCAGCCCTGCTGATTGAAAAGCTGCTACCCATCAGGCATTGTGTTGGGCACTTTCTGTGGGTTATGTCTGTGCCTTACGACAACCATAGAAAGGCTGCTCCATCTTATAGATGGAAAAAAACTGTGGCTCAGAGAGGCTCCCCAGCTTTCCCGAGGGCACTCAGAACTGCAACCTAGCTGCCTCCCGTGCCCCACGTGCTCTGCCTCACGGGGCTGGGGCGCGTGGAAAGTTGTCCTACAGTCCATGGAATTCTTCAAGTCAGAATACTGGAGTGGTAGCTGTTCCCTTCTCCAGGGAATCTTCCAACCCAGGAATCCAACCCAGGTCTCCTGCATTGAAGGCGGATTCTTTACCAGCTAAGCCAGCAGGGAAGCCCAAGAATACTGGAGTGGGTAGGCTATCCCTTCTCCAGCAAATCTTCCCAAGCCAGGAATCAAACCCAGGTCTCCCGCATTGAAGGTGTATTCTTTACCAGCTGAGCCACAAGGAAACAGTTGCAGAGGCCTGATGACCTCAGAAGAAATGTCCCAAGCTCTGAGTAGATGCCCCTTTAAGTTAAAACTGAAAACAATTATTTTTTCTTACCTGCTGTAAAACCTTCTCTGTGAAGATCTCTTGGAGTCTGGAGATTTCAACCACTTTCCCTTCGATTTGCCTTCATTAAAAAAAAAACAGATACACATTAACTGTTTGTACTTGATGATCTTAACAGCAATGTCACACACTTCTAAAGAAGTCTCTTCTAAGTGAAGGCGTGGGAGGGAGGGGACACCACGGTGGCTCACGGTGGCCTGCTCAGGACGCGGGCTTAGGAGGAAGAATGGGCAGAGGCTCACCCTCCTTACTGGTTCCCCTTTAACGCCCTTCAGCTTTCTGGGTGTACTGGATGGTCTGGAAGCCCACCCCTACCACTTCATAAGCTGACCCCTGGGACTCCTGACACCTGAGTCAGCGTGGGGCCAGGAGCACTTGGCTGTACCCAGCAGTTACAAAAGGCAGAGTCTCCTTTAATGCTGAGCCCTGTCCTAGCAACAGTCACAAGTGGTGGGGATTCAGAAGAAAACGCCAGAATATGCTGTTACCCAAAACTCTGTTACCACTCAGCAGGTTAGAGGAAAGGGTATATTCGCCATTTAAACCGTGGAGAGGAAACCCGCTTTGATTCCGGCTGAAAATATCCCATCTGGGTTCCACACTAGAGCAGGTGGGCCTCTCCCGGTTGCCTGGGCAGCACGGGTGACCCTGGGGTGGTCTGGGGGTGCGTGTCTAGAGGCTGAGCTCCCGGCCCAGGAGGAAGCGATGTTCGGTGGGGAGATGACTCCCCCAGACCAGGTGAGGGAAGCAGAGGAGAGAGGAGAGGAGAGTGAGGAGGGGCCGGGGTGGGAAGAGCACCGTCTCAAAGAAGCACTGGGAGGCCCGCCTGTGAGGGCAGAGGCCGCCAGAGAGCCCAGGGCCGCGGTCACGGGGAGACCCCCGCACTCAGTCTCCAGGGCTGCGAGGCTGATGTGTCGGGATGCGTCTTCTTTTGGGAAGTGGCCACGATGCAACAAGAGTTTCAGCACGTCCTTTCAGAACGCTCCCGGCATTCCCAGGGCGACAGGCCCGAGCGCTTTCACTGGAGGGCTGGGCGGTGACCCTACTCATGTGGGCCATGGCCAGAGGCCTTCCGCGTGGCTGATCACCACGTGGCCAGACACCAGTGGAGCCCTCTGCAGGGCTTCCCTCTGCCAGCTGTCCCTATCTACACTTAATTAAGCCCTTTCATCTTAGGGCAGCTAAGTGCAGACAGTCCCTTCCTGGCAGCTGTCGTGACCTGTGCCATCATGACCTCTCAGATGGGGCTGCAGCACCCGGAAGCCTGGAGTGGCCCACAGAGGGTAACTCGCAGGCCCACAAGTTGGGCAGTGAATTCGGGCAGTTTCCTTATGGGGGGTGGGGGCGCCGGGTGCAGGGGTAGCTACGTTTGGCCCAAGGGCCACATGTGGATGCCTGAGCACCAAACTAAATGAATAAAGTTTCTACTTTCTGGGAAAGTTGTAAACTAGGCCATTTGCTCACCCAGGAACCCCACACACATACCTCACTTCGTCAAACAGACTGTTCATTTCACCAATCAGGCGCTGATTTTCTTGTTCAAACTGTAAGAAAACAAAACACATTAAGGATAATGTCACACTGAACTTGAGTCTCAAAGCAACCCAACCAAAGGCAAGTGTCTAGTACAGTGAGTCTGTGTAGAACTCTTTGATCCGCCGTCCGAGAATCACACCGGAGCTCCTCTTTCCAGCAAGGACCGAGGCAGTGTTGCTGGAAGACCGTGAGCATTCACGTGAGGACAGCCAGGCTGCAGGAAGAAAATGAAACCCCACCGCACAGCGGGGCTGCCTGAGGCTAGGACTCTCGTCTCACTCGTGTGAACTGCAAGCATACGAGCTGACTTTAATGACTGACGGGGAGCGTGGAGGCGTGGGGGGTCATCCCCGTGATGCGTGAGTCATGTTGTGTGTGTCTCCAACCTTCTGTGTGACTATTAGCTGCTTGAGGGCGGGAACCATACTGGACCCACAGCCCTGTTCCAGCTGCAGTCACACCTACACATGTTCTCTGAGGCACCTGTGTGCCGGGCCCTGTGCAGGGAGCAGAAGGGAGCTCTTGGCCTGCAGAGGCTGGACACCCAGCTGAGGACCAGGCTACCCTGCCTCAGTACAGCAGCAGGGATGAGGACGATGAGGCGCTGAGCTCTGCCTCCGCGCCTGCCGGGGAGCAGCCTCGCTGCCCTGGCCGTGCCTTCCCGTGCTCCTCTGCCGGGGCTCCTCGGCACCCTTGCTGTCCTCATGCCGTCCCTGCTGTCCAAGGTCCGCCCTCACGTCTCTCTCCTTGGGTCTGCCCTCTTTCCCTCTGGCCTAGGTGGTCTGACCTATTCCACCCCTGCGCCATGAGCATGGGGACACTCACACAGAGGCCTCCACTGCACCCCAGGCCCACCGGGTCGGAGGATGGAGAGCGGGATGGGAGGGGCTTGGGGGAGCGCTGGGGAGGCCCACCGAGGGCCAGCCCAAGTGCAGAGGCTGCCCTGCCGGCTGCTGACATGGTCCTGAGAGAGCCCTCCCAATTTGTGCATCAGAAAGGCGCCCGAAGGGAACACAGCTCCGCCCTGTTAGCTGCCGGCAGCTGCTGCGGAGTCCGGCGTCTAAGAAAGAGAGATGATTGCTTCAGCATGTGGACGCTAATTTGACTGATTCTCTCAGGTACTTTCACTCAGGTTTTGGATTTTTCCTTTTGGCAGGGGGCATTTTCTTTGAATTTTTCTAATGACAAAATATGGCCCTAATCTTTTAAATCTACAGTCCTTTCATGCTTTTGAACTATTCCTAAACAAAATTAACTAGTGGTTTGAGATGGTTTATTACTGGAATGTTCCTTGGGAACAAAGCTTGCTTTTTTTCCTCCCCAGCTGAAGGGCATGTGGCTTCCGTTCAGGCCTTTGTGTTGCTGTTCCTTCTGCGGGGCTCCTGGTTAGCTGTGTCAGGACTGGAGCACATTCTGGCTCTGACTTCCTGCCAGATGGGTTCTTGAAGTTACCTGAGAAGTTCCCCATCCCTGGAGGAAGTGAGAGAAACAAAGGCCTGAAGGGATCAAGCAGTAAGGTGGGATGACAGAAGAGGTGTGCCTATGGCTAGTTTTATGGAGAGCAGGCTCCATCCAGGGGGCGGGAGTTACAGTGAAACTGCATTAACAAAAAACCAACACAACAGAACCTGTTTCCCACAGCCCAGAGCATGGGAGCCTCTTATCGCGATCCGGCCTGTAGATGAGGCAGTGGCCAGGCTGCTGCCCGCATTCCCCTGCACAGGAAGGGTGGTTTCCGAGGCTGTCTGGGTGGCAAACCTGCACACCTGCCCCCTCATCCGCTGAGTGAGGCAGCCAGCCACCGAACACCAGGGGAGGTGGGGGACATGCCAGGGGCTCCCATGACCCATTTCCTGTGTTCTCAGGGGGACTCCCTGGCTGACCCTGGACCGGTCACTGGCCTTCTGTGTGGCTGTCAGTTTCTCTTTGTGAACAGACATGGTGGGTGATTCTTATCCTTTCCTGCCTGATCCTGAGGGTGGGGAGGGAAGGCTCCTCCATCTTCTAAGCTGTTTGCCCTTGGGCAGGTAACCCTCTCAGAGCCTCTGTCTTCATCACTAAACTAGGGATAGCTGGAGTACTTAGAAGAGTTGTTAGGAGGTCAACTTCACCTCTGTGAGTGTTTATTCTTGTTATGTCATCTCTCCAGGACTCAGATTCTGGATAAGCAAAATGAGTCATTAAATGCTTTGGAGGACCCTCCCTGGGTTTCCCTGGTGGCTCAGTTGGTAAAGAATCTGCCTGCAATGCGGGAGACGTGGGTTCGATCCATGGGTTGGGAAGATTCCTCGGAGGAGGGCATGGTCTCCTTCCCTGGAGGATCCCCCTGGACAGAGGAGCCTGGCGGGCTATGATCTACAATCCATGGGGTCGCACAGAGTTGGACACGACTGAGCGACTAAGCACGCGGCACAGTACCCGTTTTGAGTTCGCGAGGACCACGTGGCGCCGGGTCACGTCCGTCTCTGGGCGAGAGGAGTCCACGCACAGCACTCACGGTGGGGCTCCCTGGCCCCACACGGGCACCGTGCAGCCGCAGCCCCACAGTCAGCACCAAGGACGGGGGACCTCCAGGGCCTGGGAAGACACACCTGCCGGCACTTCCTCCATCTCTGTGTCCCTGAAAAGGGGCCGAGAGGCCTAGATGATGGGGAGGGTGGGCAGGCCTGGACCGGGGAGAAATGATGGCAGCCAGCCTGTCTTTCTGGGCCATTCCACTCTACACCGTTTGGGTCTCACCCCAGAATACGGTGCTCTCCCTCAGGGCAGACCCCCGGCAACCCCCAACAACAGTGGTTACGAGTCCCTACCACATGGGGCGTCTGAACTAATAAACGCTCAAGTGCTGAGACACTGCTGGGCATAGCAGGTGATATGATTTAACTGCTTTATTCCATTTAGAAGTCGGTCAGACTTTCAAACAAGGCCTCCCGAAAGGGTTTATAATCTGGTTTAAAGGCTGCAGATCCACACTGTGCATACGTTGTTACAGAAATCCCTTTCTAATCCAGAAAAAGAAAGCCACTCCTCCCAAGGCCTCCAAGTGTCCAATGAGGAGAAACGTCTGCACTGCCAAGGCCCAAGAAGGGCTCACTGGAGCACCACGGCGAACCCGCGGGGGCTCGGCCAGAGGGCAGCCTGCCCCTCGGCCTGCGGCCCACTCCTCAGATCTCCTCTGGGCTCCTCCAGTCATGCTGGATCTGTCCAGACACCTTCACACCTGTGGCTCCGGGCCCCTCACCCTGACCTCCACCTGTGACCCAGTGAACCTTCCCAGCGTCTGGACCCCAGCTTTCACCCGTGTTTTGCTCAAATTCTATCAACAGTGCCCGTGTCCCTAGTGTGTAAGCCGAGCATGGCCACAGACCACCGGCCCTGCCAGCCACCCACCTGGTGCTTCCAGGGGTGCCTCAGGGCACAGGGGCAAGGGACACTTTTCAGGCAACCTGAAGAACAGAAGTCACTTTCATGTCTTTAAAACTTATCCCAAAGAAATATATTACTAACTGCAGTGGTTTCACTGGAGGCAAGTAAAATGAAGGTGGGCTCAGAAAGGAGGTATTTTTCTCTGTGTAACATCAGAAAACAGTTTGGTTCCACTCAGCCTGACCACAAAACATCTGCTTATATTAACCCAGGGGCATTAATACACCTGTATCGCGAGTGATGAACGGAAACGTGCGAAGAATTACATAATGCTCTGGGGCCATTCTGGAATGAGTAGCAACAGCTCATGTGGGTGAAATAATGGATTAAACTGCTATTATAAAGCTTAACTCATTATTTTACCCTGAGGAAAAATTCCAAAACAGTGACTATGAATTATGACCACAATTTGCTGTAACGCTTTCCAATTTAAAACCAATAGTGTAGCATTTCTTTTTCTTCATTTTCAGGGTTGAGCCTTTTAAATAAGATTCGGGTCAGTCAGACTGTAAGATATGGTACTTGGCTATGAGCCCCCATTAAGAAAGGAGTGAAGTGAACATCAAACAGCCTGTTATAACAGTGATGAACAGAACAGCCTTCTGCCCCATCCTCTTGCAATAACGCAATAAAAATTAAGGAGGGAGGCCCTGCTGGGTCTGATTGCCAGGGTCATCGATCTCGTGACGCCGAGGTAGCTAGCATTATTAGGAATGGTCGCTGGCACGTTTTTGGATGATGCTTCCGTCAAGACAGCACAAGGAAAGGCATGCATGGTGCTCCAGCTGTCATTATGGAAAGACAAGCCTCATGATGCGAATGTGTGTTTTTCTTACGCATCAGTTACATCACCCTCTGAACATGCAGGGAACGCAGGACCCCACGGGCCCAGCAATAATCTCCCACTGTTGGCAAGGAAACAGCCGCTGAGCACTGCTATGTGCCCTGCACTCCGCTGGGCGCTCATATATACATGACCCCATTCCGGACAAACACTGTCAACCTCCCAAGCTCAGGTTCAGTGAGCTCCTTGCCCCAAAATTACAGAGGATGTAAGTGATACAGAGGATTCAACACCTGCTCGGTCTCAAGGCCCACACTGCTGCATCATCTCTCACTGGGGCCGAACATCTGCTGATCACAGATATCCTTGCTGCCAGCCCTCCTCTGGTCCAGGCCCCGTGCAGCCAACAACTTCTGAGCCCATGTCTGTGGATATTAACAAGCTGCTGCTGCTCACCACTACCCGGTGGGGGCGGGGGGAAGGCAACTCCTCTGGCAAACAACTGCCTGCCATTCCTCTAGCTACTTCCTTTATGAAGTGGGGCAGCATATTTTAAAAAAATCCTTAAATAGAAGCTTAGTTCTGCCTAAACAGAAATGTATTCTTTCTTAATGAAGGGACAGTGCTATACATATTTTTATCTCTTAGTAAAGATAGGGTGGTCATGTTACATGATCTGGGGGAACACATGACATCATTTTCAGTAATAAACTTATTTTGTATGAATTGAAGAATGATGAGATTTCAGAAAACTTGGCCATCCTCTGACTATAGGGGAGCATGATCAAACTGCCCTTTAGTCTGATGGCTTCTCCGCCTTGACCTGCTCCGGCCCTGTGTCCCAGGTGGCGTGTGTCCCTCCTCCACCCTGTATGTGCCTTCAAACGCCAGCTGTCAGGGGTCCCCCACGGTCACGTCTCTAGCCGGAGCCCCAGGCCCGGGATCCCAGCGCCCACCAGACACCTCCCAGGACCCACACCTGCCCCTGACAGAGGGCATCATCCCCTGACTGCCGGCATCCTGCATCCCCAGGTTAGAAAGCTCCCGGCTCTTTCTCCTCCCTCTCTCTCTCACGCCCGGCTGTCCTCCCCAGATCACCAAGTCCTGCCCACTTCCCATTTCTCATCTCTGCCCTCACTGCCCACCCTGGGCATCACCCTCAACCTCTCCCGACTGGACTGGCCAGCGAGGACTGCTGCCTGGAGTCGTGTGCAGGCCTTCGGGAGGCATGCTTGCTGGACTTGGAAGACGGAGCACTTTCCCCAAATCGGAGGTGCATCTGGATCATGACAGAAGCAGGGGCCTGGCAGGCCGCCTGAAGGTATCCGAGTTACTTCCTGGGCTCAGAATTCAGGGAGCTCTGCCTCTTGTTCCAAAGAGAGTCCCACAGCCTCTGAGAGAGCACCCCCAGAGCAAGTCCCAGGAAAGTCGTGGCTAATGGTGTCATCACTGGAATCAGTGTCACGCTTCTGAGATGATTTAAGGGGACACTGCTCATCCAAGAGAACGAATGTTTGTGAAAGAGCCCCGAGTATAAAGCGTGTATGAGGCTCCAGTGAGCAGCAGCTGCCACCCAATGTGGGCCTCCGATCCTGCCATGAGCGCAGTACGCATACCCCAGCCCTTTTTCTGCGCGCGCGCGCGCACACACACACACACACACACACACACACACACACACACACACGGGCATGGCCCGGCACCCCCTCCCCCGCCCCGGGCCCTGCTGTAAATGGACCAGACTGGGCTCTGACCGGGTCTATTACTTTTCTTTTGAAATCCAACCAGAGATGATAAGCTGCCACTGGCAACTAGGGGATGGGTAACTAAAAGCTGTATTAGCAGTTAAAGTGGTACTTGTCATTTGCAGTCATTACTTATACTTCCTTCACATTATCATATACCAGCAAGTCAAACAATTAAAAAGCACCATAGCAGTGATTATAAAAGATTCACTTAGAAGACTATTTTACTGCTGCCAAAAAGACATCTAATATTAGTTATGCTATTTTAAGGCAATTTTTTCCTTAATTATGCTATTGTAAATTTTAAAGCATATGAAAAGTGTACTAAGAACTAGGAATCAAGTGGAAAATTGTATCTAAACTATTTATAATTTTTAAAATTCAGTATAAAAATAAGGGTAAGAGCATTTAGGATGACGTTCTATTCAATGAAATATTCTTATTAAAACTAGTTAAAATACACAATTATGAAGAGAACAGCATTACCATTTGTATTTCTTCTGGGGATAATTCATCTTCACCTTTGCCGTCTCCCCAGTTTCCCAATTCAGGTTGTGCTTCGACTGGAATCTTTTCTGTTTAAAAAATAAACAGACAGAAAGCAAAATATTCACTTTAGAACAGGTTGGCTTAGGAGGCAAGCATATTGAAAAACCTGAGATGAAGCAAAATTGTAGAGCTTTGTCCATATTTGATTATCTCTTGGTTAATATTCACGTTCTGTGGTGTGATTCTTTACACCACATTTTGGACCCACATTTTGTGTGTGTGTGTCGAAAGGGGACCCACATACAGTTTCAGTATTTCTGTGATCTCAGCAATGGTCACAAACCAAATGGACGTTTTTCAGGACCAGTTTTCAAGTGGACTTTACTTCAAAACACATACACACTTACATCCCTCCCTCTCCTTTTTAAACACTGTCAAATGTATGGGCAATTTCATTAAAATGTTTCCTATATTTCATTAAAATACAGCAAACAACACACCATCCCTCATTCCCTTCCCTCCCCGAAATAACCACTCATTGGTGCTGTGATTGGGCCTCACAGGCTCTCTCTGGCATGTTCACATACAGATAAGCAATTCCCTGCCTCCCTTGCCCCCACGTCAGCCTAGAAATAATTTATAGTTTTCCAAGTGTGGTATTAATAGTTTGCTTTTCACAGGTATATCAATGGTAACACATTGTTCTAAAACTTGGCTTTTATAACTTCACAGTGCATCTTGGGAATTTTCCTATGTCGCTCCACATAGATCTCCCTTGTTCTTTCATTTAAAAATATCTATTTATGTAGCTGCACCAGGTCTTAGCTGCAGCCTGTGGGATCTTTAGTTGCAGCATGCGAACTCTTAGTTCTGGCACCTGGGGTCTAGTTCCCTGACCAGGGATGGAACCTGAACACCCTGCACTGGGAGCTTAGAGTCTTAGCCACTGAACCACCAGGGAAGTTCCTACCTCATTCTGTTAAATTGCTGCATAATATTCCACTTCCACTGATAAACCTTGAACTTCTGCTAGTACATATACCAGTCCATGCTTTGGTGCAGTCTGGTGTATTTCAGGACAGGAAGCTGGGAACAGACTGCTGACTGGTGGTGTCAGAACACTGTAATCTAGAGCATGTTTTCATCATGATCATATAAACACAGACCAGACCTCTGAGAGAGCAGACCAACAGCACAGCTCCCAGAAGGGGCTGTGCCAACCTGGGACCCTGAGGGTGAGGCCTGTGCAGCTCTTCTGGGGGTGGGCTGGGAGCAGGGAGGTGGGGGGACGTGGGAGCATCACTCCTGGGTGGAGGCTGTAATGGGGTCCTTCTTTCTACAGGTGACTCTGGCTGCTGTCTCAGCAGCGCTTCTGGGTTTATCAGTGGGTCATCAAGTACTTAAAGGCAAATACCGCTTCTTTTCCTCCCAGATCTCAGTAAATTCCCATGGCTGCTCTCAGCCCCACTGAGACAGGCAAAAGTCCAGAGTTTTTGTCTGGAGACTGATAAGGGAAAAGAACATAATGATGGCGCCAATTTAGAGAAAGCAGATTAGGCAGACCTGTGTACAAAGTACAGTTATTATTCTGGATATGTCATCACAAAAAAACTCCATGTCATGCATGACTCTGTGCAAGTTTTTAGAAAATGGCTGTTGTTTTTTTTTTTTTTGCCAAGAACTATCATCCTATTTATAAATGATACATGTACATCCCAACCCTGCCAGAGCCCAGGCTTCTCTGTCCATGGGATTCTCCAGGCAGGAACACTGGAGCGGACTGTTACTTCCTTCTCTAGCCTCTACATCATACTTGGCCTCATTGTGGTGTCCATCTTGAGCTTTTACTTCTATGTGTTTTAATTAAGAACACCAAAATTAGAAACAGAAACATCATTCACATCAGAATCAAGTATGAACCACTCTGAGCTAGAATGGAAAGTCTGTTAAGAGAACTCATGCTCTCCTTTGCAGCCACCTGGAGCCATCCTGACCTGCAGCAGATAAGAATCAACTTGAAGCATGGCGCCCCAAACACCAGTGCTCTACCCAGGCCTCCAGCCTGCCCCGATGCCGAGAGACTCAAGTCCCGACTCCGTGGTCCAGAACTCAAGGCCCTCTGCATTCTGGCTCCCCTGACCTTCAGGCCCACTCCTCCTCCCCTTTCTGTGAGTTTTACTCACCCAGAAGTGCTCTCCTCCACTGACCTGTGCTTGGTGGCCTCTGAGGACTTACTCATGCTGTTCCCTCTGCCTGGAACATTCTAAGCTTCCCCCACTTTTCAGGTCCAGACTCAATCTCTCAGGGCCACCACTACCTCCTAAAGTCCACTCTGCCCATTTAAAAATTGGGTTATCATTTTCTTACTGACTTGTAAAAATCCTTTCCACGTTCTAGATACAGATCCCTTATTAAATATGTGATTTTAAAATATTTTCTCCCATTCCCTGGGCTTTTTTCACTTTCTTTCCTTGTTAATTCTTTGTCAAATCTGAGGTCAGGAAGATTTAACCCTATGGTTGGTGGTTTTTTTTTTTTTTGGTAAGTTTTAGGGTTTTAGCTCTGTAAATGTCTTTGGTCTATTCTGAGTTAGTTTTAATAAATGGTGTGACTCAAGTGTCAATCTTTGTTTTTCTGCATGTGGATATCCAATTTTCCCAGCACCACTAGTTAAAGAGACTATTCTTGCCCACTGGAAGGAAATCAACTGACCAGAACCGCATGGTTTTACCTCTGGATTCTCAGTTCCGTCCCATTAGTTCATGCCCATGCTTGTGCAGGTACCCCGTCCTGATCACTATTGCTCTGTTGCTGGTTTTGAAATGGGGAAGAGTGTGAGTCCTCCTACTTTGTTCTTTTTCACGACACTTTGGTTTTCTTGAGTTCCTTGCACTTCCTCATGATTTTAGAATCAACTTGTCAATTTTCACAAAGAAATCAGCTGGGATTCTGATAAGGAATGTGTTGACATTGTGGATCATTTTGTGGTGTACTGCCATCTTAACGATATTAATTTTTCTGATTCATTAACCTGAGATGCTTTTCTATCTGTTTGCGTGTGAGTCGCTCCGTCGTATTCAACTCTGTGTGACCCCATGTGCTGCAGCCCTCCAGGCTCCTCTGTCCATGGGATTTTCCGGGCAGGAATACTGGAGTGGGTTGCCATTTCCTTCTCCAGGGGATCTTCCCGACCCAGGGATTGAACCCCTGTCTCCTGTGTTGCAGGCAGATTTGTTACCATCTGAGCCACCAGGGAAGCCCCCTTTTATTTGTTTCAGTTCAGTTCAGTCACTCAGTTGTGTCTGACTCTTTGCAACCCCATGGACTGCAGCATGCCAGGCTTCCCTGTCCATTACCCACTTCCGGAGCTTACTCAAAACTCATGTCCATCTAGTCAGTGATGCCATCCAACCATCTCATTCTCTGTCAACCCCTTTTCCTGCCTTCAATCTTTCCCAGCATCAAGGTCTTTTCTACTGAGTCAGTTCTTCACATCAGGTGGCCAAAATAATAGAGCTTCAGCTTTAGCATCAGTCCTTCCAATGAATATTCAGGACTGATTTCCTTTAGGATTGACTGGTTTGATCTCCTTGCAGTACAAGGGACTCTCAAGAGTCTTCTTCAACACCACAGTTCAAAAGCATCAATTCTTTGGCGCTTAGCTTTCTTATAGTCCACCTCTCATATTCATGTATGACTACTGGAAAGACCATAGCTTTGACTAGACAGACCTTCATTGGCAAAGTAATGTCTCTGCTTTTTAATATGCTTTCTAGGTTGGTCATAGCTTTTCTTCCAAGGAGCATCTTTAAATTTCATGGCTGCAGTCACCATTGGCAGTGATTTTGGAACTCAAGAAAAGAAAGTCTGTCACTGTTCCCATTGTTTCCCCATCTATTTGCCATGAAGTGATGGGACCAGATGCCATGATCTTAGTTTTCTGAATGTTGAGTTTTAAGTCAACTTTTTCACTCTCCTCTTTCACGTTCATCAAGAGTCTCTCTAGTTCTTCTTCGCTTTCTGGCACAAGGGTGGTGTCATCTGCATATCTGAAGTTACTGACATTTCTCCCGGCAATCTTGATTCCAGCTTGTGCTTCATCCAGCCCAACATTTCATTTGATGTACTCTGCATATATAGTTAAACAGGCAGGGTGACAATATACAGCCTTGACGTACTCCTTTCCCTATTTGGAACCAGTCTGTTGTTCCACGTCCAGTTCTAACTGTTGCTTCTTGACCTGCATACAGATTTCTCAGGAGTCGGGTAAGGTGGTCTGATATTCCCATCTCTTAAAGAATTTTCCACAGTTTGTTGTGATCCATACAGTCAAAGATTTTGCCATGGTCAATAAAGCAGAAGTAGATGTTTTTCTGGAACTCTTTTGCTTTTTCAATGATCCAACGGATGTTGGCAGTTTGGTCTCTGGTTCCTCTGCCTTTTCTAAATCCAGTTTGAACATCTGGAAGTTCATGGTTCACATACTGTTGAAGCCTACCTTGGAGAATTTTGAGCATTATTTTGCTAGCATGTGAGATGAGTGCAACTGTGTGGCAGTTTGAGCATTCTTTGGCATTGCTTTTCTTTGGGACTGGAATGAAATCCGACCCTTTCCAGTCCTGTGGCCACTGCTGCGTTTTCCAAATTTGCTGGCATATTGAGTATGCTTTCACAGCATCATCTTTTAGGATTCGAAATAGCTCAACTGGAATTTCATCACCTCCAAAAGCTTTGTTTGTAGTGGTGCTTCCTAAGGCCCACTTGACTTTGCATTCCAGGATGTCTGGCTCTAGGTGAGTGATCACACCATCGTGGTTATCTGGGTCATGAAGACCTTTTTTGTATAGTTCTTCTGTGTATTCTTGCCACCTCTCCTTAATATCTTCTGCTTCTGTTATGTCTATTTGGATCATGTTAAATTTCTTCCAACAATGATTTGTAGCTTTCAAAGTATAAGCCTTACACTTTTAATTTATCCTTTTTGATGCTATCATAAGGGAATTCCTGCTTTTTACATTTCACTTCTGGATTGTTCACTGAGTATACAGAAATGAAATTTTTGTATACTGGTTTTGTATCCTGCAACTTTGCTGAAACTCATTTACTACTTCTCTTTTATTGGTGGATCTCTTAAAATTTTCTGTATACAATACCAGGCTGTTTATAAATAGAAAATTCTTCCTTCCTAATTGCCTCTGCTATCTTGGTCAGCCTATTAGTCGACTTCCAGTGTTCATCTGAAAAACAATCCTGCCAAACCTCAGAGTCAAGCAATGGATCTCTTCACAGCTGGCTCCACAAACCAACGTGCCAGACACTGCTCGGCCCGTCATACTAGGCTCCTGAAGTGCTCACGAGAAACCGTGGCTATGTGATACTGTAAGAAAATGGTGGCTCAGAGTTGAAGTAACTTGTCCAAGTGCAGGACAGCGGCCAGACTGAAACCAAGGTTCACGGTCTTTCTGTGACATCATGCTGCAACCAAGTGCTTCCCCTTCCCTCACCTCAGGAGGAGGGATGGCACACCTCCATGCACAGGAAATGGATAAAGGTGGGGTACAGCAACGGTAGAGCTTCCTTTCAGGAGAAGCAGACAAGATGAAGCAGAGAAAGCTTGTTACACATGCAGCAACGTGTACATAAAGGGTACACATTTTTAATGAGCACGAACTCAGATTCTATGATCCTTTGGGACTGTATGTAACCAGGAAAGAGATGACTATGAAATAGGTGTCAGCTAACGACCATGGACAAAAGGGAGGCCGGGTGGAGCTGCGGGGACAGTGAGGCCAGCGGCAGCAGGGGCCAGGATGCCTGGGGGGAGAGAGACGCCTGACCAAGTGGTGGGGGGGAGGGGGCAGAGTCCCGAGACACAGGGGTCTGCGTTTAGAAAGTGGGGGAACTGGTGCTTGGCAGTGCCACTCACTGCTGCAGCTGGGATGCTGATGGCCTCCAGAGAGAGACTCTTCACACCACTCAGCTGCTCCACGTGTGCTGGCCAGAAGCTAAGCAGGAGCGTGCTCTCTGAATATTTTGTGGAAACGGCTTAGTCAGGAGATAGCTGCATGATTATAAACTATCCAAATAGTGACTTTAAGATAAAAACATAAACTGTGAGGACTGGCGCTCTTTCACTCTGACCATTTGTTTTCTACCACCCAGAGGCGTTAAGTTCCTTTTGCTTCAGGAAATAGTTCCACAGCAACTAAAAGCAGTCAGTGTTCCAGATAGAGTCTTCATTCATTCTTCCATTTACTCATTCTTTCATTCATTGTTTTGAACAAAGATTTAGTGAGCACCTCCTATGTGCCAGGTATTGTTTTGGGTACCAGTGTTACAACAGTTAACAAAGCACATACAGAAATTCTGTCCTCGTGGAATTAGGTTTAGTTGGGAAGACAGAACATAAAGAGTATAAATGAGTAAAACATAGAAGGGTAGAGACAAGTGCTGGGGAGAAACAGCAAGGAAGACTGCAAGTGGCAGGAGGCATAGCCCCTCATCCTCTTTCCACCAACTCTCATTCCTTGGGGATCCCAGCCTGTCTCATGTGATCTACAGACCTGTCCTCTAGCCTCCAGATACATAAACCCAACTCCTTGTTCAAGCTCTGTGCCGGGCAGTCCCTAGCCTGTCCCTCCTCAGCCTCCCGCATCTCAGTGAAGGGCAGCCACCTTCTTCCCACTGTGAACAACCACAGCAGCCTTCCTTGACCCGTCTCCTCCTCATGCCCCACATCCAGGAAGCAGATTCCGTGATTGACTTTCAAAATATATCCAGAATTCTCCCCCTTCCCCCCCATGCCCTGGCTACCCATGCTTAATGTGACCCGCCATCATCTTGTTTCTGGGAGACTTTAGCAGCCTCTTAACTATCCCTATTTTGCTTCCTGAGCCCCTGAACAATGTATTTCAACAAAGCACCCGGAGAGACCCTGCCCAAACGTAGTCCTCTATGCAACGGTCCTCTCAGAGCCCTTCAGAAGGCTCATCTTAAGAAAAAACAAGTTCATGAAATCCACCTGAGAGGGCTGCTGTAAGGATGGTGGTGACGTCTATGAAGGTTCAGTACAGTAGCCAGCTAGCACCTGGGAGGCGTGCAGTAACCGAGTGCCACTGGGAGAGTATGGGAGAGGAGGTGAGGGGAGGAGGGTGAGGGGAGGAGGCGAGGGGAGGCGGGGAGGGGAGGCGGGGAGGAGAGGAGGGCGAGGGGAGGAGGTGAGGGGAGGAGGCGAGGAGACTCGTGGGCCTCGGCATCCTGGGATCCATGTAAAGCAAGCCGCTCACCCTGCTGCCCAGCTCTGAGGTATACAGCACAGTAAGCACGCATCCCCTACACACGCGGCCACCCTGGCCAGACACAGGGACTTCAGACGTCCCCAGCAGTGCTCGTATACTCGCCTGTGCTACAGGCTTTACAGAGACACCGTGTTTATCCTCCGTGTGTCAGAAGGTGCTGTAAGTTACGGGAAGGCCAGCAAACATGAAGACAGGAAGCATATAAACCCAGACGTGCATTACACTGCCTTAGCTGGCTAACGGAGCCTCCTGACATCACACACTCCACCCGAGGCAGGATGGTCAGGTCCACGTAAGGTCATTGCTGACACGGGTGCAGGGGAGGCAGCGCCCTACCATTCCTGAGACTGACAAGCAGAGATCGCTGATGTTTCCTCCGGGTTCTAAGGTTCCAGTCCCCACCCCACTGGTGAGTGGAGACTCAGGCCCTTTCTTTAGACCCTGCCGGCCCCCAGGTGACCGGGGGACCCTCCCGCCCCACCCTTGAAGTGGTCATTAAGATCCAGCTGTGACCAAAAAAAGGCTGCTGCTTCCATGTTTCCTTCCCTTCATGCAAATGCAAGCACCATAAGATGTCCGGGGCTGTGGTCCTTCTTGTTCTGCTTTGTATTTTGGCCCATATGTCATAAGGAAGAGATGCAAGGCACAATTTTAACTCATACCTGCATATTCTTCAGGGACAGGTTTTTCTTCAGAGTCTTTTGATGGGCTCTGTGAAACTTTCTCAGAAGACATGGATTCTCTTGTCTTTGCGTGTGGTTCTGGTTCTAGTTTAGACCTAAAGATGAAAAATCAGCAGTCATATCATTTACTTACACAGCAGGATTCCGCCTGGAAACAGGAGTCACCCTTGCCTTGTGCCCTCAGCTGGAGAGCAGAACCACGGCCCCGGGCCCAGCGACCGATCCAGACACAGTTCAAGGGGGGTGCTTATTACATGGCAGTCGGCACTCCCTGGCCAGAGCCCGCAGCTGGAGGAGTGCCGTCAGCAGGCGCCAAAGGAAAGGACGCAGGAACCCGCCCTACCTCCTGACCCCACACGCGATGCGTGTCAGCAAGGGCGAGCCCACCGCTCCAAGTTCAACAAACCCAAGAGCTGGTCGTCCTGTGCCAGTGCGGAAGCGGGGCTGAATACACACGCGCACATGTTACGTAGCACACATGATGCGTAAGTAGCGTCTCAACACTGAACTGCAGAGAGCGGGAGTCTTCACGCGCCCGCAGGGAGCACGGCCTGGTCTCGGGTCCCTCAGCCTCATCGCCCGCCCTGGCCCGGGGCTCGCTCCAACAGTGTGTTCTCTTCCACCCCCGGGGCCCGGCGAAGTCTCACCCACCTTGCCTCACGCTCCTGCCTGCAGAGGGCCCCCTCCTGCCACTCTGCGCCCCAGCGCCTGTCTTCTCCCAGCAGCCGCTGCAGGCTGGGCTGGTCTCGCCCCTTCGTTCGCTCACTGCCTGCCTCGCTCCACTGCAGCACGTGCTCTGGGAGCAGGGCCCCTGACTCTGTGAGTCACGGCTGCTGTGCGGCCCTGGGTGCGAGACGAGTGTGTGGCATTCGGTGTTTAACACACACAGGGTGAATGAGTGGGTGCTTTATAATTCTCAGTGCATCGTTAATAAGAGGAAAACAGTTTGGTTAAGGGGCCTTGTATTGGAGCTCATACAGCACTATGAAAACTGTAGGCAGACTGCTAAAAAAGACCTATGATGACTTCCATGTTATGAGGCAGAAAGACTAAAAAAGAACAATGCAAATGCGTATCAGGATGATATTACTAATGCCAGCTAACATTTATTAAGGGCTTACCAGGTACTGGGCACTCTTCTAAGCAACTTTATATGCATAAACTTAAGTTAATGCCATACATCGCTATGGCAGTTACTAGTATTAATGGTCTTTTCACAGAGGAGGAAAGTGAGGTGCGGGGAACTCAAGAAACTTGCCTGGGCCAAACAGTGAGTACATAGCAGGGCTGGGATGTGGCCTCAGGGAACCCATCTTGGAGGCCACACTCTGAACAACTAACTGCCCCATGAAGAGGAGGTTCTGTCCACCAGGTTCTATGAGAAGGGACTGCAGTGACCAAGATAGGCTGAAAGAGTGGAGTCAAAGCTGGATGGGTGCTTGACTCTGCAACTTTCCAGAGCCATATATACCGAAACACACACTGAATTTCCAAAAAAGATGTCTCTTCCCAATAACCTGACCACAGAGGCCATTTTCATGGGTTTTTTGTTTTTTTTTTTAAAGACTAGTGTTCTAAGAAAGGATGTTAAGGAACTGCTCCTCTACAACAGTAACAAAAGAACTGTTGAGTAATTATATTATCAATCACACTAAGGACTCCAGTTACTGAGGTGGAATAACAGCCACTCTAAAATGTATATACCTTGAAACAATAACAACCATTTACGGTGGCTCAGTGGTAAAGAATCTGCCTGCAGTGTAGGAGACCTGGGTTCAATCCCTGGGTCAGGAAGATCCCCTGGAGAAGGAAACGGCCACCCACATCAGTCTTCTCACCAGGATAATCCCGTGGACAGAGGAGCCTGGTGGGCTGCAGTCCATGGGCTTGCAGAGTCAGATGGGACTAAGAGACCACCATTTTCACTCTCACCATCTGTCAGTGTTTCTGGGGCCAGGAACCTGGGAGCAGCTTGGCCGGGAGGATCTGACTCACACGGGCCCCGCCATGGGGCAGAGGGCCCGCCACCTGCAGGCCTGCCTGGGGCCGGAGGGGTCCCTTCCCAGGAGGTTCATTCTCATGGCTGGGAGACGGTGCTGGCAGGAGCCTCGTCTCTTCCTCGTGGGCAGGTCAATGTGTCACTGGGCATGGTAGCTGGCTTCCCCCAGAGCAAACAGTCTCAGAGACCACAGCAGAAGCTTCAGTGCCTTTTATAACAGTCTCAGCCTCTGTTTACAACAAACTGTCATTTTTGTCATACCCACTGTCCAGGCAGTTGCAACGGTCCACTCAGGTTCAAGGAGAGGGAACACAGACCACACATCTCCCTCTCAGTGAAGCAAGAACAAAATCACATTTTAAGTAAGACCATGTGGGAAGCGATGTTTGGGTTCAGCCATCTTAGAAAAATACATTTGACATTCTAAGTATCACAGATATGCACAAAGATGAACAGAATGTCACAGAAGACACACAAATGGTCAATAAAGCAGAGGAAAAGGTGTCAACAACATGGAGTAACAAAACCAGAGTGAGACACTGTGACACTGCCACTAGAATGGCTTAAAAAAGTCACCATCTCCAAACCCTGGTGAACACAGGGAGCAACACTAACTCTCACACACTGCTGGTGGGAGGGTAAAATAGTAAGGCCGCTTTGGAAAACCCTAGACAGCTCCTTAGCTTAAAAGACATCTCCACGTTGACAGAGCAGCTCCACTTTTAGGTATTTACACAAGAAAAATGAAAAGATATATCCACACACAGATCTATCCAAGAATGTTCATGGCATCCTTATCCATAACAGCCAAAACAGTAGAAACAACTCAAATGTCCACCAACAGGAGAATGGATAAACCAACTGTGGTAAATTCATGCAGTACAATGCTATTCATTAATAAAGAAGAAAAAACTTTGGATAAATACAACACGGATAAAAAATTGGTTAAGCCAAAAAGCCGGTTGAAACCATAACTGAAAAGAAAAACACAAAACAAGGGTCTATCCTATTTAACATTAAATGTATAAATATGATTATTCATTACTTACTCCCTAACATTCTACCTCAAAGATTAGTTTTGGGATTTAGTATGTGGCAACCTAACACCTTGGGCTGCTCAGGTGATGCGAGTGGAAAAGAACGTGCCTGCTAAGGCAGGAGACATATTCCTATCCAGATGGGTTCATGATGCCCTAGTTTATTAATGGGTTATAATCTGCTATCATTTATTTTGATGCTCAGATTGTCTTTAATTTGGTCACTGGCAGCTTTCAAACTGGTTTATGTCCTTTTTGCAGGCCCCCATCACTCTCTGAGCCTTCCCTTGCTTTCTGGTACAACAACACGCTCCAAGTTCATTTTATACTTTCCTTGACCCAGCCCCAGACTCAGCCATTTCTGCAAGGAGCCCCGGTTCCTGGAAGCTGAAATTGCTGTTTAGAAGCCAAGATCTGAGCACTAAACACGCTTATTGCCTCCGGGATGTCAGTGCGTCCAGGCCTTCTCAGCGGACAGAGCCAGGAAAATCTGTCTGCTTTTGCAGACCTAGACACGCACACACGTTTACGACCACATTTCATTTCTATGTCCACCTATGTAAATTGAAAACCATGAGTTCACATCAGTCCTGTTCATTCTAATCCAATTTTTCTTTCACTCCCCTGAGAGTCTGAACCTGGCTTCCATTATCCTTATGTGTTTATTATTTGATTGATCCCCCTGCATACAACCTATCCGCCTCTTCCACTGCGGCTCGTCCCCTGTCCTGGCTCAGGCTCTTACTGCCCATGCTGAGCCAGCCCTCCTCAGCTTGCTCAGACTCTTGAGCTTCCCTGGAAAACATCCCCATAGCTGTGGACATCCCGCCTTACTCTGACCCACTCCATGCCTGGAGGACTTAATTGTTCAGGAAGAAGAGGGGCTTAACTGACTTTTAAATAAAGGGTTCCATTAATATCTGTCATCCTTTGTGTCCAGAGTATGCTAATGTGCCAGTTTTTAGTTCAAAATGAACAAAAGACTGCAATGCAGCAGACTTAGATGAACTTGAGCGCTTTAAGTGATAAAAACAGATCTAATTATACACAGAATGTCTACTGAAATCCTCAGGGAAATTACAAATTAACTAGTTGAAGGCAATTTGAAAAATGCAATTTTTAAAAAGTCATCAGAAAGATCAGTTTATGCTCCATGATTTACTTTAATTGATTTCTCTAACTGAAAGCTGAGCATTTCATAACTGCAATCAGAACAGTTTCCACCTGGCCAACATCTGTTTCCAGGTCCCTTATTTGAAAAACTCTGGGATTTTATATAAAATTTGGGAAGAACAGAAGGATAGAGAGGAGGGGGAGGAAAACAGTTTTTCCAGGTCTGAAACAAGAAATTACGTCAAAGAAGTTCTTTGAAAACCTTAAATAAAGCCCTACACAAATATTAGAGAAAAGTGGTAACTATTCCAGAGAGCAAGGAGATCAAAACAGTCAATTCTAAAGGAGATTAGTCCTGAATATTCATTGGAAGGACTGATGCTGAAGCTGAAGCTCCAGTACTTTGGCCACCTGATGCGAAGAACTGACTCATTGGAAAAGACCCTGATGCTGGGAAAGACTGAGGACAGGAGGAGAAGGGGACGACAGAGGATGAGATGGTTGGATGGCATCACCAACTCGATGGACATGAGTTTGAGCAAGCTCTGGAAGTTGGTGATGGACAGGGAAGCCTGGCGTGCTGCAGTCCATGGGGTAGCAAAGAGTTGGACACGACTGAGTGACTGAACAACAATAACAATGCTCTCAACAAAGGCTCTAGGTAGAAAGCAGACAACGCACATGATCCCTAGTACTGCAGCACTCTCGTTTCAAGGATGGCTGTCGGACTAAGGTGTCCACCAGGTCACAGGTCTCCTGGACTCCCCTGGACTCCTCCAGAGCAGGAAATGCATCACATCTTCTAAGCCATCTTCACACTTACTGATATTTACTGGGCATGTACTTCATACTGAGTGATTTTCAGGCCAGTGCTACTCAAGTGTGATCCACAGACCAGTATGAGACTATGAACTGTTTGTTACTGGTCTGCTATGAGTAAGTACAAAAATGAAAAATAAGCATTTAGAAGCATTTACGGCAGTTTGATACTGCTGTTTGATCAGGGGACTCCTGTCTCTGAACAGGGTTTAGACCAGTTTAGGTGTTATCAAACTACTGTGGTGGGTCGCCCGAGTGGGGGAAGAGGGACAGAGAACATAAGTGTGTATGCATGAAGGGCATTCCAGGCAAAGAAATCAGAAAGGATGAAGGCACAAGAATGTCAAAGGACACAAGTAGTCAGCTTTGGTCAGAGCATAAATCCATGGGGGCCAACGGAAAGAACAAAGTATCATGGGCCTGGAATGACGTGCTGTGAAGGTCAGCTTTGTAAGACACGAGAGGGAGGGAGTGCCACAAGTACACATCTGTTTTAGGCAAGTGCCTTCTGGGGTAAGGAGAGGAAAGAACTAGAAGGGAGGGCTGGGCTTCACCGAGGCAGGTCACACGGCTCACTTCACTTCCCTGAAGCCCTCTGCTCAGAGTGATCGGCACGGGGCAGCTATATGACAGGAGATGAGGCTGGACTCCACAGCCTAAATGAGAACAACTCCCATCTGACTGATCTTAACTTGTCCAAACCTCTGCTGAGAACCAGGAGCTGAGGAGGCGGCAGCAAGAGCCCCCTTCTTACCTTACTCAAGGGGCCTGCTAAGTCTCAAGGGTCAGGGACCGCCTGGGATCAGGAAGCAGAAGTGAGCATCTCTCTCAGGCGGGCATGAGCCCAGTGACCACACCCCATCAGAGCCCTTCTTCTCCTCGGGGACCTGCTCTGGGCAAACACTCCGCCTGCCCTCCTGCCTGAACCATTCCTCCTTTCTGATCCTTTACCCAGATTATTTTCATTCAACCTCCAACACAAAGCCCATCATTTGGGATAACCCTGGTTAATCTGACCTTCAAATCTGAGGTCAGCTGTGTGACACCTGGCAAGTAACCCAAATTTCCCAAGTCTCGATTTCCTCTACAAAATGAGATACTAATAATTACTAACAAAGCAGCTGTGAGGATTAAATGAAATAAACATACTGCCTGAAACACGGTAAATGCTTAATAGCAGATAACAGTACAAGTTAACATTTGTTAACCACTCACTACTCCTTGGAAGAAAAGCCATGAAAAACCTAGACAGCATATTAAAAAGAGGAGACATCACTTTGCTGACAAACATCTATACAGTCAAAGTGACAGTTTTTCCAGTAGTCATGTACAGATGTGAGAGTTGGAGCATAAAGAAAGCTGAGCACCAAAGAATTGATGCTTTCCAACTGCGGTGTTGGAGAAGACTTTTGAGAGTCCCTTGGACTGCAAGATCAAACTAGTCACTCCTAAAGGAAATCAACCCTGAATATTGATTGGAAGGACTGATGTTGAAGCTGAAGCTCTAATACTGTGGCCGCGCCAACTCATTGCAAAAAACCCTGATGCTGGGAAAGATTGAGGGCAGGAGGAGAAAGGGATGACAGAGGATGACATGGTGGATGGCATCACCGACTCAATGGACATGAGCTTGAGAAAACTCTGGGAGAGATGGTGAAGGACAAGGAAGCCAGGCATGCTGCAGTCAATGGGGCTGCAGAGTCGGACATGACTTAGGGACTGAACAGCAAACAATGAACAACAAAGGATATCCAATTGTTCTAGCACTCATGTTAAAAAAGACCATCCTTGTTCCACTAAAATCACTTTGTACCTTTGTGGAAAATCAACTGACCAATATGTGTATGTCTCTCTATACAGACTCAAATTCCAGTTCTGCCACCTCCTGGCTAAGGGACATGGGTGAGGCACCCCACTTGCCAAGCCTCAGCCTCCCATGTGTAAGATGAGGGTCATCACAGTGCCTGCCTCCTGGGGCTGCTGTGGGCTAGAAAATGTCCAGCACGGTACGTGCCCAGAGAATCCTGGCCACAGCAGTTACTGAGGAAACTGAAGCTTTACAAGCATCGAGCTCTACAAACTTTGGGCTTCCCTCGTAGCTCAGTCAGTAAAGAATCTGCCTGCAGTGCAGGAGACCCAGGTTCGATTCCTGGGTCGGGAAGATCCCCTCGAGAAGGAAATGGCAACCTACTCCAGTATTCTTGCCTGGAGAATTCCATGGACAGAGGAACCTGGTGGGCTACAGCCCATGGAGTCGCCAAGAGTCAGACACGACTTAGCAACCAAATCATCATCATCATCTACAAACTCTAGTTGCTATTACTGTCATCACTATTGTTAATGAAAGAATACCAATGAAGACGATACTCACAATCTTTTCTTGTCCACCACTCGCTTGACTCGGATGGCTCTTTGTTCTGAGTAAAGTTTACACACTCCTGTCCAAGGGAAAATACCAGAGACCATTTAAAACTGCTTCTCAGGCAAAGGTATCATTACGTATAGTGAGACATTACAGTCTTCAGCTAGCAAAGCTAAAGGTTGCATCCCACCTATTGTGAAATGCCACATGTGACCTTTAAGATAAAATGAAATACTTTTTAAGTAATCTTCAACGAAATCCAAAACGGCAGTCCTGTGCTCCTTCACTTGCTGAGAGTGTATCTCCTTGTGGGCTGAAACAGAAAAGGACAAGATTCAGGGCTCTGTATTCAATTACACTGAAGAACAATTCATCAGCTTCCTTACAACAGCTTCTTTATTAGATGTATTCTTAAAAACACAGCCATAAAACAAGTCCTGTGTCAAGTGACATTTCATTTTTAAAAGAGTGAGATTTATGAGGCTTTGCGAGAGTAAAAGATTAAACCTGCAGAAAAACTACAGTCAAGTAATTTATGGTTTATTACGAAGGGATCGTGTTTGACGGGGGCCATTTCTTGAGAGCTGACCCTGTGCGTGTTAACAGGATCCAATGCTCAAGCTGACCTTCAAGGAACGTTTTAAATCAGACTCGGAGCACACACTCCCCTCTGCCTGCCCGGCTGCCTGTCAGCTTGGGCTTCTCCGTCCTCTTCCCTCAGCCACTCACATTCCCCTCAGACACTGAGTGAAACCTTCCTTCTCCCGGAAGCCTTGCCTCTCTGAGCCATGAGGACGCCTTTCCCCTGTGAATCATCACTTCTTAGAGTCCGTGTCCGTTATACTTTGGTAGAGGCTGAGCACCTACAGTGTGCAGGCACCCTGCCAGTACTTTACATAAACTACTGCTAATGGCCCAAACAATGCAGAAGGCGAGTATGATTATGCCTGTTTCACACACGAGGGACCCGTAAGGAGCCCAGGGTCACTTGGTTTGGTACTTATTCCCCACTGTATTAATGTGCAGGTGTTTTCAAGGTATCTCAGTGAATGTCCTTAAGGGTAGGGGGCATGATCTGTTTTTACCACAGGGCTGTTGCTGAACCTGAGGTTCACATGAGGAATTCAGAGGATTCATAAAATTATACACAAAATTTGATGCATGTGTGCATTTCTTTGTGGCAGGGAAGTCTACAGTTTTCATCAGACTCTCCAGGTGGTCCATCAGGGTTCAAACGGAAGCTACCCAAACAAAAGTGAGGGTTGAGCACAGCAGCATCTGGCCACTTGAATTCTACACTATGTAATGTAACATGCGTCTGATTAAGCAAATTAAAAGAGAATGAAGGAAGACACCTAACTTGGGAAGCCATCTCAGTGGCCCAGTAAAAGTTCAAAATCAATGAAAGTGAGATGATACTAGTAACCCTAAGGCTAGCTACTGTTCTAAAGGTGCTAGGAGAATTTAATTCTCATGATGACTCCAAGAATGGGCTTCCCCGGTGGCTCAGATAGTAAAGAGTCTGCCTGCAATGCAGGAGGCCTGGGTTCAATCCCTGGGTTGAGCCCAAGAAATATGCCATATAATTGTCTCCATTTTATAGATGAAGAAACTGAGACCCAGGGCGACTAAGTGACTTGCCCAAGGCCACATGGTCTGAACATGTGGAGCCGACGTGGCTGCATACGCAGCCAAGGCTCCAGAGCTGTCCTCTTCACTGAGAGAGTCTGTCACTATAGTTTAATGCTCCGAGTAGAGAGCTCATGGTACCTTCATGTGTCCTCATTCACATGCCATCAACCGATGCCCTACTCAGCGCCGCCCAGAACACAGGCACGCCCGCACACACCTCTACACTTGAGTCATCTTCTCTGACCCTGGTCCCAAGGTAAACTCTTGGTTCTGTCTGGAGAGGTCCTTTCCACCTCCCTCTTCCCATCTGTTTAACTTGAATCATGGCCTTTGCATGGTTTTTAACAGCTTAGGTTGAAACACTCGTGAGGAAAAAGAAGACTTTGAAACCGCTGAAGCTGAAACCTCAATGAGAGCCCAGGAGTGAGCTTTAACTGGCTGTGCCACGTGCACCCTGCGGCACTTAATCGCGAAACGGCTGCCGGCTGCCTCCTCCAGGGTACACACCTTGAATTCTCAGTTGCTGGATCGCTTCTGAGCAGGTCCTCATGAAGGTCTGAGCGTCCTGGTCTATCTGGTCTCGCTCTGGGTCTGTCATTCTCCCGTATTCAGACATGGCATGACTGACGGGGAGAGAGAAGGACGACATGAAGGGACAGCAGCAAGTGCCCACACGTGGAGTCTTGACGGGGTGTGAAGGGGAGAACAAAGCTCCCTGCTGAAGTGACCGCTAAGCTGAGGCTTGAAGGATGAGGAGGAGCTGGCCACACTGAGAGGTGGGAGATGGCTCTAGACAGCGGAACCAACGCATACGAACCTTACAGCCCTGAACTCCATTTTCCTGACCGTTCTCTCCTGACCCCGTCCAAACAGCCTTTTGCCCTCATCCCCTCACTGTGGTCGTCACTCTCTAAGGTCACCACTGGGGTCATCATTCCCCCCAAGGTACTTTCCACCCCCTGGAAATGCTGGTGGCTCCCCTTCCCTGATCTGCTTTCTCCTGTCTCCTGGCCACATTCTTTCCTGGTTCCCTCCCACCTCCCTGGCTGTTGGTTTTCAGGCTTTTTGCTGACACCTTTTACCCATGGGTCTCCCCGGTGGCTCTGACAGTAAAGAATCCACCTGCAATGCGGAAGACCTGGTTTCGCTCCTTGGGTTGGGAAGATCCCCTGGAGGAGGGCATGGCGACCCATGAGAATCCATGGGGTTGCAAAGAGTCGGACACAACTGAGTGGCTAAGCATAACACACCCTTAGTCCCTGAATATCTCTGTTGTCCACACTGCTCCCTTGGTGAGTTCGGCTAGGCTAGTGGGTTTTTTTGTTGTTAGTTTTACACTGACAGGTCCCAAATTTATATTTTTAGCCTGAACTTCTTCTAGAACTTCAGATGCATGTATCTAACTGCTGGCTCAGTATCTCTATTCAGATGTTTAATCTGTGTTGCAAATATGCCCCACACTGAGCCCGCAGCCACTCCCAAGCCCGCTTCCCACTTGTGTTGCCAGCAATCCCATTCCTTCTAGGTGCTCACGCCTCAAACCTGGGTCATCTTGGCACCTCTTTTTCTCTTTCAGTTCACAACTAATCCATTAACAAACCTCATTGGCTCTAACCTCAAAACACTTCCAGAATCTGACCTCTTGTTATCCCACCCACTGCTAACCCCTCTGGCCCACGTCACTGGGATCCCAAGGCTGGACCATAACTGCAGCTGTCCAGCTGGTCTGTCGGGTCTGGCGAGCTCCTGCCCTGATGATTCCAATGCACCAGCCTTACCACTCCTGTTACATAGTAAGTCAGATCCTACCAATCCTCCGCACAGATGTCCAGTGCTTCCCACCTAAGAGCAGAAGCCAAGGCCCTTACAAGAGCTGCACAAGCCTTAAGGCGGCTCACAAGCTCTGGCTCCTGCCCTCTCTGGGATTATCTTCAGCTGCCCACCTCCCCCTGCTTCAGCTGCCCCGGCCTCTGTACACTTCCTGGGACATTACAGTCGTACCCCTGCACCAGGACGTACACTAGCTGGCTGTCTTCCCTGGGATGTCCTTTCCCTGGATGAGATCTCTATGAACTGACTGCTTACTTCTTGCAGGTGTCTACCCAAAGTCCCTGCATCTTAATAAGCTACCTTTATACACTTGTATCCACCCTGACAGTTTCTATCTTCCCTTCTCCACTCCCCCTAAAATACTGTGCTCCAACATTCTATGTTTTACTCATTTTGTTTCTTTTCTATCTTCCCCTCCAAAACACACATTCCATAAAGGTGGGGGCATTTGTCTGTTCACTGCTGAATCCCCATCATCACCAGCAATCCTAGGATTTAGTAGGCTGATAAATCAGTGGATCAATAACCAACTACTTTCGGAATGACCTCGCTTAGTGTGAGGCCGATGTGAGAAGCCTGACACACAGCCATAGCTGTGCTCCTTAACAGGTCCCTCCTGGACTGATTGCATCCCTACCCCTGAGACCTGCAGGAACCCCATTTCCAGAGCCTCCCCTGGAAATATGGAGGCACAGAGGCCCCGGGAACGTGTCCCGCCTAGGACAGGCCCCCAAGAGAAGAGAGAGGAGTAAGCCTGGGGCTCTTCTCTGGGCCAAGCAGGAGGCCAGTCTCCTCTCCTCTCCTCTCCTCCCCTCCCCTCCCGTGGTGCGGCTCCTCCTCACCCCGCTAAGCCCAGCGTCCACCCTCTCCGGGCGAGCGCTGGAAAGAGAGAAGGCAGCCTGTAGGTTCCTGGAGAAGGGATGGCCTTCCCTTGGTGAGTGACAGACGGGTATTTCCCTAACACCCCGCCCTCCGCAGGATCTTGTTTCCTTAACTAGTTTGGCTTAACATGGTAATCCTGACAGAAATGTGCTCTGAGGAGGAAGACCCCAGAGAGGGGAAGGGGGGCAGGGGCCGGGCAAGCAGGCTCAACCCTCCCCCCAGCTCCCCAGTCAGTCGGCGGAGAACTGAGAGCTGTGAGCACAGGGCGCAGTACGTGCCGCCCCTCAAGAAACGGGCTCACCGGAAACCGGAAACGGAAACGGAGGCTAAGGGGTCAGGGACAGATAAATGAGACGGGCGCTCACTTCCGAGTGGCGAGGCAACCCGTGGATAGAGCTGATCTACAAAACGACCAATTTCAGGAACGTGAGATTATCGTCCTCCTTCTCTGTTTTGACTTAATGGAAACTCAGCTCAGTGAAACTGAAAAAGGTCTAAAGGTTAATTTGATAAAACTGATTATACTCAATTAAAAGGCGATGTTCCTTTAGGATACATTATATATTAACCTTTTAAATTGGAAATTGCCAGTATGGTCATTCTAGTAGTAGTAACGACAGAAACCAAGAAAGTCCCCCCCCCCCCCCAGGTGGTACTGTTTTGTCGTTAGGCTATTGAGGAAAGGGTCTATCTACCAGAAATGGAGAAATTATTTTTTAATTAAAATAATTCAAGAGATCTAGCCAGAGGCTATTTAGGTTGCTTGCTGTTCTGCTCTAGTAAAATGTCATTATTTTTTTAAAAAATAGGTCAATAAAGTCTGAGTTCTACATTATGGGAAAAATTATAGCTTCCTAATTATGTCAAACTAACATAGCCTTGTGGGTCTGAAGGCAATATTTCTCTCAATTCCACTCTATCTAAAATGTTCCCAGTGAGGCAGGAGATAGATGGAACCCCCCTCCCCCGCAAGGATGAATAGCTGGAGTCCATTCCCAGCACTTCAAGATGAAAATAGCACAATTGGGAGAGAAGGCTGGGCCCTGCCCAGATAAAAGACAAGACTACAGATTTCTCATTCTCAAAGTCAAGAAGAACTTCCTGACTAGAAAGCTCCTTGGTGGTCAAAAGGTGAGGCCGAGGGGTCAAGGTTACCCACAGGCCTCTCTGCTGGAATCCATCTTGCCTGTGAGATGCATGTGCATACATGGGAGGATGTGGAGATGCACCAAAGGCAGACTTAGAACCAAAGGAAAATGACAGGCCAAAGGAAATCTGGAAGAAATGCCCCATATAAGTGATTTAAACCACTCCGTGGGTGGGACACTCTCTGAGTCCACCCATGTGTCTATCCACAGGTACTGTACTCTTCTCCCTCCTAATAAATACTTTCCTTGTTTCACTACTTCTGCCTTTGTGGGAATTCTTTCCTGCAAAGCCAAAGGGCCAGGGCTTTGTCATTGGCCACTGGTCTAGTGGCTAGGACTTGGCATTCTCAATGCTTCAGCCTGACCTCAGCCTCTGGCCGGAAACCCAAACTTTGCTTCAAGCCACTGAAGAGCAGGAGCAGAAGGGGATGACAGAGGATGAGATGATTGGATGGCATCACTGGCTCAATGGACATGGGTTTGAGTGAACTCTGGGAGTTGGTGATGGACAGGGAGGCCTGATGTGCTACAGTCCATGGGGTTGCAAAAAGTTGGACACGACTGAGTGACTGAACTGAACTGAACAGCAAGGCCACCAGAGATCACCAGGAACAGGCCACAGCCAGCACCCTGCACAGCAGTGAAAAGAGAAAAGACTTCAAATAGTCTACCACCTTTGGGAGGGAGAATGTGATGGGAGAAGGTAAGGGTGGCCCTTCTCCCTCTGGAGAGAATGTAGGGTGTGGGGGGGAAATGCTTATTCCCTAGTCCTCCTGTTTCTACCAGAGAATCCACACCTCTCATGACACCCTACCTCCCTCCTCCATCTCCTCCCTCCCTTGGGGCAGGGACTTCTCTGACTGGCAGCCTGGCAGAAGGACCCGCACAGGGAGTGAACGGTCCTCCAGCCACGGCTCCTCTCTCTCCTCTCCTCTGGGGTCTCCCTGTTTACTGGCAGCGGAGGTCCGGCTCTGCTGCTTCTCTCATAGGCTCTCAGGGGCCTCTGTGCTCCGGGGCTGTGACCGTTCCGTGGCACTAACGGCTGAGTGCACCTGTCTAATTCAGGCGCCTTCAGCAAGGCCACCAGCCTGCAGATCTAACCTATGCTACTGCCCTAGATTTCCCTGGTGAGCAAGCTTTGAATATGTCCATCTGTGTCATGTCGACTTGACTTCGGCATCCTCTCTCTTTCCCTTCCTCCTCTCTCTGGCAGGAAATAGAGGTGCTTTCTTTCTTTGTTTTTTTAAATAATTTTACTTATTTAAGGCTGTGCTGGGTCTTCACTGTTGCTCAAGCTTTTCTCCAGCTGAAGTGCTCAGGCCTCTCACTGTAGTTGCTTCAGCTGTTGCAGAGCACAGGCTCCAGGGTTCACGGGCTCCAGCAGCTGCAGCACCCGGGCTCAGCAGTTACGGCTCCCGGGCTCTACGGCACAGGCTTAGTAGCTGTGGCACGTGGGCTTAGTTGCTCTGCAGCATGTGGGATCTTTTCGGATCAGGGATCGAATCCCTGTCTCCTGCATTGGCAGGTGGATTCTTTACCACTGAGCCATCAGGGAAGCCCTGAGAAGTGCTTTCTTGATCAAATAGCCACTAACCCAACTGTGCCACAGGTCAAATGGGGTTCCAATTCAATGACCATTCACCAAGGGACTTTTGTGCGCCAGGAACTCCCACACATATCTCATTCAGTCCTCTTAAGAGCATTGAGTGTGAGTGTGCTCAGTCATGTCCGACTCTTTTCGACCTACTGACTGTAGCCCACCAGGTTCCTCTGTCCATGGGATTCTCCAGGCAAGAATACTGGACTTGACATTTCCTCTGGGTTGCCATTTCCTCCTCCAAGAGATCTTCCCAACCACCACACTCCTGTGCCTCCTGCATTGGCAGGAGGATTCTTTACCCACTGAGCCACTGGGAAGCCCTTTATCCACATTATCCATACTTTATTTAAAAACAAACAAAAACCAAAGCACAAATACCTGAAGTGAGTTGTGTATACTTGCATGACTAATACTTGGAGCAGCTGGGACTAGAACTCAGGTGTGACTGATCCCCAAAGCAAGCCCTGCTCTTTCAAAGGGCCAAAACAGGGGCAGGAGCAAAACTCGGGGTCCTCTGGCTAGTGGTGAAGTGCAATCGGGACGAGGACTCAGTGGGGTGATGGCCCATCAACACTCAGGAAGCCTCAGGAGCACTAGTTGTGCTGACGCTATAGCCACACAACCACTATGTAGACAAGAATGGAATGGGCCCCGGGGACCCCGTGATCCCTCCCAGCGTGTGCTGCCACAGTAGCTGGGAAACGGGGAGGCCGAGGCCAGCTGCCCGCTGTCCTGAGAAACGTGAGGACTCGGAGTAAGTCCTCACCGTGCTGGTCTGGGAACACTGACAGGCAGTGTTGTGAAGCTGATCTGTGTTGTTCGAGGAGAAATGTCTTAATCCTACCCCTGTAGTCAAAAGTTGACTACAAAGTTACAGAATAGCAGCCTTATACAATAATCTTTTTATAAATCCACTGCTCTGTTTCTTTTTTTGCACAGCATTTCAACTGTACCCTCTTGTCTGAACCTAACTAATAGGCAAGTGAGCATCACTCTCGTTATTTAGAAACAGGACTCCTCAAAGGTTTTCTGAAAAGGGCCAGAGTATAAGTATTAGACTCTGAGGGCCATACAGCGTGGGCACAGCCGCTCAGCTCTACTGCTGAGGTGTAAGAGCAGCCATCTGTAACGTGCAAATGAATGGGCATGCTGCTGTTCCAATAAACTTTATTTATGACACCAAAAATTTAACTTCATTTAATTTTCTTATGAGGTAAAATATTATTATTACTCTCCCCTCAGTCATTAAAAAAATGTAAGAACTATTCTCAGCTCACAGGCTGTACAAAAACAGGCAGTGAGCTGGACTTGGCTTATAGGCTGTGGTTTGCTGACCCCTGGTTTAGAGGAAGACATTGCCTTCTACAAGTTAAGTGAACTTCTCAGGTTCGCATGGCTAATAAAGAGACAGAGTAGCTTGAACTAAACCAACATTTAAAGCATTCACCTTATCTGGATGCCTTTTGAAGGCAAAGGGAAGTTAATAATGGATTTCCATAAGCGATCTCCACGACCACTTATGTAACTTAAGCTGTCAAGTACTGAAGAAAGGAGCTGGAAAATGATAGGCTTACACCAGTTTTGCTAAGTTTTCCAAAACGACAGTCGCTTCCATCTGTACAGACTATAAAATTAGCATCTGATGTACATACATACCTTTAGAAATAAAATTTATACTGCCATCTAGTGTTGACCAACTATTTTAACTGAGAACTTTAAAATAAGGTTTACTTGGTATGAAGCACTAGAATAATAATTTTACTATAGTCCAAAGTTATGTAAATGAAATACACTTAAAAGCATAAAGTAGACAAAGTGGTAGAGATTATTTAAAACTCACCTGGGGCATAATTATTTTGTTAAAAAACTGATATGAAATATTTCCATTTTTTTATATATTGATTAAAGTCCTTTTATAAATTCAGAAGATTTATTCCATATTTTCTGTGTGATAGGAAAGCTTCCAAAGGGTAAAACCCCTTGTTCTGTAATGATGAAATACTACACAGATGCTTCTAATGATGCCATTTCCTATGTCCAGTCCAACTTTCCCACTGCTTAGGCAGTGCAATTGAAGCTGAATCCTATGGGAGACGTGCCACACTAAAGTCAGGTGCAAACAGAGGTCAAGGGAGGGCAGGAGGCATGACCTTTGCACTGCGGTTTATTCCTGAGTCTACGGAGAGCCGGAGTCCATTCTAGAAGTCCTTCTGGAGGTTGCGATCAAAATGCCTTCTCTTTTTAAAAATCAACCTAACAAAAACCCTCAGGGAGGCAAGAGTTCTCATCGCTCCAAACGGCATTTTCACGTGACGGGCATGAGCTCTTCATTTGCTCGGTAGTGTGTATTCAGTGAGACACTGCCCCATCCTCTCTGCATGTTTCACAAAATATACATGGCACAGACAGAGAGGCAAACACGTGTGTGCCTCAGGGGGCACTGCGGTGGGGCTGTGGTGACTTCAAGGACGTGGGATGTGCTGTGCTTACCCTGGCTGGCGGAGCCCCTTTCTACTCTGCAGATTTTCTTTCACTGTCAAACTGATCTTCCCCACGACAGCCCAGAGTTAGTAAAACGTGAAGATGGAAACCTCACAAGGAATGCAGGTATGGCAAAGAACATTCACCAAAATCATGGTTAAAAAAAAAAAAAAAACAGACACTTACCTATAAGCATTAATATAATCTTTTCTGTGTTCCAGAAGAAAATCCCTCAGCTTGCCAATGTGCGAAATCTGTCATGAAAAGAAAACAAATGGTTTATATTGATAAATATGTTACACTCACATGCAACAAATTTTAAATTAGTAGAGAGGGTGGAATGCTCTCTCTTCAAATCCTCAAAAGATTCTGAAGCTACAAACTGGACACTTCTGATTTTAGACTTCTGTATAGTCACTGACTTGTCAAAGTCACCCACATTCCTGGGACTTGGTCTCCTGCTTAAGTCACAGATCGCAACAATTATAGGAAGAAGGAACCAACAGCAATGAAGAGATGACTCTAAGGAACTTTGAGATTCTATGAGATAATGCATGTCTAGTAACTGCACAGAATGTGCTTAATAAAGGCCAATTCCCTTCCTTAAGCGTTTTCTACCTAAAATTTTATAGACAAACATTCCTTCTTCCAAGTCTTCTAGGGAATGGATTCCAAGGCTGGAGCTATTAAGTTTATAAACAGGATCCATGCAGAGCAGCAGAATTAAACAGAAGATTCGGGAGCAGTGATATATCCCTGCACAGCACATCTCCATCTTCTCCACTTCTGTGGATGAACAAGAGAGGACACAGAAGTCCAGGGGACTAAATTCCTGATGGGTCATTTCTTGTGCTAAAGCCCCTACCATGTGTCAGGTGCTGTGTGTGGAAGGAGGGATTAAAAAACAAAACAAGTGTTAGGAAGAAACCTGGGATCATGGTCGACATGGACAAGAGAGCTTCCAGAAGGAGAGAATGATTAGCTAAGCCGGTGGCCTGTGCAGTCCTTTGACCACGGCTCATGCTTGCTTCCTCCTAACGCCCTTTGTATTTATTCCAAACACACGCAGCCTTGGTCTCAAAGGATGTGCTGAACTTTCATCTTTTGCATGAAAGTTTTTCTGTCAAGGCCAACTCAGGCCAATTTTCGCTCCACTCTGAACTTAAAAGCATGTCTGCATCCCACCCACGGGGCACTCGGCTACACGTGGCCATGTCCACTGGCTTCACTTTTGCACACATGCCTCTTTCTCAGGGGTTAGGAACCATGTGAGGAGGGGGCTGCCCAGCTTCTCCCACGGCCCTATGCACAACATGGAGCCCAGGGTGGGGTCAGTCAGTACTTTCAGACCAACTAAACGTCTAAATGCAAAAACAGTATTTACCACTAAAGAAACATTCAGCAATTGTCTGGGGATAGGTCAGTAGGGGTTCAGTTACATTTCCCAGGGTCTAGACTAAGAACAAATAACGGTTCAGAAATGCACCCTCAGGCATCTTCAGAGCATGAATTAAAGAAAAAAATGAACTGTGGCCACATACTCATTTATTTACCAGATTGCAAAGAAAACTGAGACTGTCCGGCAACGCTGGCTCCACGAGGAACCTCCACACACACACGACCTCCTTCCCCAGTGGCCTGTCGTGGGCACTGAGGTCACTGTACCCACAACCAGGCTGGGAGCGTGAGCCTCACAGAGGCCACGTGCCTCATCCAATCACACGGTTAGTGTCTGGTGGGGCTCGGAGGCAAGCTCAGGACTCGCTTGAGTTCATTCGGCCTGTCTTTCACTAAGCCACAGCTGACTGCTTCATCCTCTTATTCCAATTTTCCACTTAGGCTGCACTTTAAAATCTGACTTTTAAGACTGTTGGGAAAAAAAATTTAGGAGATGTGCAAACTAGGTGCTTACTATACCGCATATAAGATTTAATCAAATTAACTCTCCTGTTTAATATGCTTCAGTGGTTCCCAGCATCAGGGTCAGGATCCTCGATCCAAAGATTACGGGCAGGAGGAGAAGGGGGCGACAGAGGATGAGATGGTTGGATGGCATCACTGACTCAACAGACGTTGAGTCTGAGCAAGCTCCAGGAATTGGTGATGGACAGGGAAGCCTGGCATGCTGCAGTCCACGGGGTCTCAAAGAGTCGGACACGACTGAGAGAGTGAACGACGACCACAAACAACCATCATGGTTTCCATTCCCCTCCCCAACCCCTGCCTGTGAGGGGCCAGGTAAGCAGTATGAGTGAGTAAGGCAACAGGAAGGGAGGGTACAGGGCACCAGGCAGGCGTGAATTCTGGTTATCAAACACCCTGCAGTCAAAGCAAGCATCTCTCCCAGTCAACTCGCCAGAGGGCAGCTAATTGTCATCTCTGCACCTCATCAGTGGGGTCAAGTCCAAGCCCCAATGTAGCACTCGAGGCCCTTTGTGGTGCAGCTCCAGAAGTCCCGAGGGGCCTCAGTCCTGCCACGCTCCCCACCGACCACAAAGACCACGACGACTCCTTACCGACTAGCTTCCCTTCACCAGAGCACAAGCTACTAGAGGGTAAAGGGTCCTCTCCTCTTCCCCCAGAGCCTGTCAGGCACGAAAACTTTCACTGCATGTTGAATACAGAGTGGGTACTGAATAATGCGGCCTTCTCAGGTGGCTCAATGGTAAAGAACCGCCTGCCAATGGAGGAGACGAAAGAGATGCAGGTTGGATCCCTGGGTCTGGAAGATCCCCTGGAGGAAGAAATGGCAACCCACTCCAGTATTCTTGCCTGAAAAATCCTGTGGACAGAGGACGGGCCACAGTCTCATGGGGTCCCAAAAAGCTGGGCACGACTTAATGCTTAAGCAATTAAGCATACATGCACTGAATGATCCCCTGAGATTATACCTACTGTGACAGGCAAGGAAATGCTATATACCCTCCTCCCAAAGATGCACAGATCTTATCCCCAGAATCTGTGGATTTATTATGTTACATGGCAAAGGGGAATTAATGTGGCAGAAGGTAATCAGATGCTCATCAGCTGAGCTTAAAATAGGGTGATCACTCTGGATTTATGTTGGAGTATCCAGGGAGCTAGGCCCTGTGTAATCATGGGGTCCTTAAATGGAGAACAAGGAGGCAGAAGAGAGAGTCAGAACGATGCAACGGGAGGACTCGATCCAACATTGCTGGCTTTCAAGGCAGAGGAAGGGAGCCAAGGGATGAAAGCCACGTCTGCACGCTGGAAAAGGCTACTTAGTGGATTCTCCCCTAGCGTCTCCAGAAGAGAACAGAGCCCTGCCCACACCTTGATCTCAACCTAGGGAGTCCCATTTTGGACTTGGACCCACAGAACAAGAAGACAATACATTTTTGTTGTTTTAAGCCACTAAATTGATGGTAACTCCTTACAGCAGCAACAAGAAAGGAGTACACTGTGTCTCGGTTTGGGCTGCTGTAACAAAATACCACAGGCTAGGTAGTTTACACAACAAACGCTTATTTCTCTTAGTTCTGGAGGCAGGGAAGTCCTGGCCAAGCTGGCAGCATATCTGGGGCCTGGGGAGGGCTCTCATCCTGATTTGTAGACAGCTGCCTTCTTGATGAGTCCTCACATGGTGGTCTTGCATCTATCTCTTCCTCTAAGGACACTGATCCCATTCATGGGGGCCCCACCCTCATGACCTAATCAGGGCCCGAAGGCCTCACCTCCAAATACCATCCCATTGGCTATCAGGGCTTCGATTCTGTGATGACACAAACATTCAGTCATAGTGTCTGACATAGCATAAAGCCTTATCTGAAACAGCCTTTTTTTTTTTTTTTAAAGGAGTCATAATGTTTTCAATAAAGGTTTAAAATGTCCAAAGGTATCTACTGTATAGTGTAGACACAGAAGCTCCGCTCTTTAAGCTCCCCTCTCCCGCATCTTTGGCTCATTTCAGTCTACCAGGGTGGAATGATGTGTATAGGGGGTGAGTGCCAGGAACAAGAAGCCCCTACAGGCATCTCAGAAAACATGATTACAACAAGTTTCACTTAAAGTATAACAAATATGATCCCTATTTCTTATGATATGATACCTGGGATTTGCTTCAATATAACAAGGGATGGAGAGTAACACCTGAAAGAGGATCAGTCATGAGTTGACAGCTGAGTGTGGATAGGTGCGAACTCCTTATAAATACTGTCTACTTCAATACATACTTGATAGCTTTCTTAACAAAACATTATTTTTTAAAATCTCCTTTTTAAAAATTTTAAAAAATCTCTTTAAAAAATTTTTTGCTCTCTTTTAACATGTTTGGTGATTCTGAAGTACAGATTTTCTGCTGCCATACTAGTAATAACCCATATTTGAATGAGCAACTCAACCCCACCTCAAATCTCTAGCTAGTTTATTTCTAAATAGACTTTAGCAAGTTTTTGCTTAAAATTCCACTTAAGACGATCAATACCACTTAAACAAAACAAAACAAAACACCCTACCAACCCCAAAACCTTCACTGAGAGTTTACTGTGTGTCAGGCTCTATTCCAAGATCTCTGCATGCGTTAGCTCATGGAACTCTCCCAGCAACCCTGAGATGAGTAACCTCATCACACCTGTTTTAACAGATAAGGAAACTGAGTCAGAAAGCTGGTAAGTAATTTGCTCAGGGACACATGGGGTGAAGCCTGGATGGAACCCAGTATTCTAAGTTATCAGACTGGAGTTCGTAGCCCCCAAATTTGTGCACAGATTGTTGGCAGGTGGCAAGTGCAGTTTTTCAGTATAGTAGTCACAAAGGGGGATGCCTGGGAATCGAGAAAAGCAACCAGTGAGCAACGTCAGGATGTTTTTTCTTGTGTCTGGATTCAACAGTGCGCTACACATCTGACATCACCCCGCAGGGACGGCCACTTAGAGAGCATCTGCTGTGTGTGTGCCAGGCAGTGTGTGAACTGCTTGCTCCGTGCTGGCGTCGGCTCCCCCATAACCAATCGGATGGATTAGATGCTGCCCCCATTTCTATTTTATAAACATGGAAACTGAGGCCCACATGAGCTCACAGACTAACAAGGGGCAGGACTGGCATGGATCACAGGTCTATGTGACTCAAAGGCTAAGTTATTTACTCTATATTATATCATCAAAAGGTCAATAAACTGTTACTACTTAGCTTATTTAAGTTTGAGGCTTTCTTTTTTTCACAGAAATATAAACTGGATTTCATCTAAGATTTATGGACACTGATTTTTAAAATGTTTTCAACTACAGTGGGTACA